GTCAGCGTTGTCCAGAAGAATACATCAATACACATGTAACTCCCACCTCCGAGAAATTATTCTGCGCTTACTATCTCTTAGTTCGATAGAGACAGATCGTGTGTGAATATCGTAGAACTATGGCAGTATATAAAATAACCGTTACTGATAGAAATATATATGTGGATGTTCACGTGTATTGTATGTGACTCCAGTGAGGAGAAAAGAGAGGGAGAGGACTGTCCGGGCAGTCCATAAAAGCAACATAGTCGCTTACTAGCATATCCGGCATTAGTCGTTCTCCTCGCACGAAACGCGGGGTTGTTTTTCTCGAGTACGCAGGCCGTCTAATGATGTGTGGAACTAATTGGCACATACGCAATAGGACGCAAAGGACAGCCGGAGGCACACCGGCTTGGTAGTATAGCTTGTGATATCCCGGCCTATCGTCTGGCATAGCATGTCGAGGCACACCTTGACGTCTGGAATCTACGTGCACTTGTGTTTCTTTTGTTTTTTGGCTCGTATCACTCTTGCTAGCTATCTTAGTTCTCTTTCTATGTCACTAAATAGTGGGCACTTAGGAGGTATGTGACAAACGTATTGANAAGACTTTGATTAAACTTTTGTTTCTTTTGTTTGTTTCTTACGCCTCCTGTAGCACTTTGGGGTTGCTTTTAGCAATGAAAGGTGCTTTACAAATACAATTTATTATTATTACTTTCTTAAACTAAATTGTAACAGCATTACAAACCCTTGTATATACATTAATAGGAAGTAATCAACAGGTATTTTAAATTGTATTTGTAAAGCACCTTTCATTGCTAAAAGCAACCCCAAAGTGCTACAGGAGGCGTAAGAAACAAACAAAAGAAACAAAAGTTTAATCAAAGTCTTTTTTTAAAAGAAAAGTTTTTAGGCCTTTCTTGAAGGCGTCAGTCCTCAGGTGGTCTGGGAGGGAATTCCACAGGTGAGGAGCCGCTGCACAGAAGGCCCGATCCCCCATTGAGCGGAGTTTGGTCCTGGGGGGGGCGAAACAGATGGTTTGTTGTGGAACGGAGGTTGCGTGTGGAGGTTTGTGATGTGAGAAGTTCCTTCAGGTATGGAGGAACGTTCCCGTGGATGCACTGATGGGTCAGTAGTGCGATCTTGTATTCGATCCTGAATGAGACAGGAAGCCAGTGGAGGGAATGAAGGACGGGTGTGATGTGGTTGTACTTTCTCACCCTCATCAGGATCCTATTGGCACTGTTCTGTACGTATTGGAGCTTCTGAAGGCTCCAGCTAGGAGTCCTGATGAGGAGAGCTTTGCAATAGTCAAGCCTTGAGGAAACGAAGGCATGGACCAGTTGTTCAGCATCTGACAGGGAGAGTGTGTCACGGAGTTTTGCAATGTTCCTGAGGTGGTAGAAGGAGGTTTTGCACAGGTCTTTGATGTGGGTGTCAAAGGTCAGATATCGGTCAAATCTTACACCCAGGTTGGTAACTGATGTGGAGAGGGGTAAGTTTTGGCCAGAAAAGGTGATGATGAAAGTCTTAAGTATTGTATTTGCATTCCAAAGCAGTACATTAACTTTTAAGTTTATAAATGTATTTTGTAATCTAACAACGGACATGTTTATGAAGCTATTGTTAACACATTATAATGTTAAGCATCTTTTAAGGACTTACCTTTTAACTAATGCTTACAACAATGACCTTAGAAAAATACCATTACCTTTTTAAGTGTTTAATGATAGTTAAGAAATAAAAAGTAGCAAATTCTTGGAGCTGAAATAAGAACTTATTTGACATTTAATTTCATTTAGACACTCAATTGATGCTAAGACTAACCAAATGAAAGAATCAAGCGAGGAAATGTGTGAATACACATGAAAAGGTTGAAAGATATCCATATAGAAAGAGATAAAAGACAGAGTGTGTCAGAAATGCGTGTCATGGCGAACGGCAGCACTAAAGAGTAACTGCAGGTATATAAACTGAGCAGACATAACATTCAAACATATCTGACCACAGTGTGTGTTCAGCTCTGTGTGTGGCCTGCAGGGAATATGCAGCTGTTGAAATATAATGTCACATCAGCCTATAGATCACATTTCCATACATGTGTGTATGTAGAGAAGATTGAAATAGTGACAGGGTAAAGAGGGGGTTTCATAACTGCAGCATCACCACAGCTACCATAACACATGATATACTGTAGGGCTGAACCTAACGTCTCAAGCTTCTATTAAGGCTTTCAAATGTCTGTCGTTATATTTTATGATGAGCAGATGACGTTTATGATGTTATTGTGGGTCTAAAAATGTAATTGATGGTGCTGTTAGTTAATACAGGTGTGTTTCTCCCTTTGCGTGCAGTGAGCTGCAGAGCAAACTGTTCTTATGTTCTGACAATCTTTCTCATCAAGTATGAATGGAAGCTGGATATTTGGATAGATAAAACATGGATTTTGGAAATTAGTACATGTACCTTTTTTCAATAAATATAGACTTGACCTTACAAAGCTCTGAGATTATTAGACATTTGACTCATAAGCCAGGAACAATCCTACCTCAGTCTACCAATGTTATAATAATACAAATATAATAATACAGTTCAGATCAACCATATCAAAACGCAATGAATACACTTATAAAAGCATTCAAATGTCAACCAAAACAATACAACATTCTTTTGTTGTTTACCAGAAGCAGCAAACATTCTCATTTGCCTCCATCCCCCAAGATGCATTTTTGATTTTCAAACAATTTGCATTGAAAGCACAATTTGATCTACTAATATAAACAGGATGTGTTTATCAGTTTTAATCATGTTCTGTTGTCTCAGAAATGGACAAACATAAGTCATTACGGCTGCAGGTATGCACGCTCAGGCTTCATGTCATCCAAAGAAGAGCTCTGCGTTGACAAGAAATCCCCATCTGAAGAGAGGACCTGACATCAGGTCACTCACAGCCTAATCTGACATCAGGTCACTCACAGCCTAATCTGACATCAGGTCGCAGCCTAATCGCAGCGAGTGATTTACAGCTCCGACGTGGCTTCACATCACAAACCCACTGGGATTCATATAAAAGCCCAGAAAGACATTTGGCAACTTTCCAACTGGTTTTAAAAAAACTTTTAAAAAACTTTTAATCCACTGTAGCTAATTAAGGTCTCGTGATGTTGAGGGATTTCTTCTACTCCCTCTAAAATGTTGGTTTCTTTCTTTCACCCTTCACCATTTTCTCCCATATTTCTCTCTCTCAAACCTCCTCCTCCTTATCCAAATCCACACATCTTCCTCTCCTGCTAACTCTTTCTCCGTAAGCCAACTGCGGAGCCTAAACTCAAGGTATGTTTGGCTTGAAATGCACTAAAAATATCCATTCCCTGCGGGAAAAACATAAAAATTATATAACTTTAGGTAGCTACACGTATTCGCTTCCTTGTGGAGAGATGGATTAGAAGCATGATTTAAGTGAGCATAAAGACATCTTATAATTCCTTTTTTAAAATCATTTCTATTGTTTAAAGATTTTTTTCTGCTTACCAATGTTTATTCCCTCATACAAGGCGAGCCTGATTATTGTGAGTATACATGATTGAAATAGTCATTTATTGAACTATAAAGTGATATGTATTATTGGATCATTTGTCATAAATAGAGTATCTCACCTAGTTTGTATCAATTAATTGATGTTCTATCTCATTAAGAAATACCTTTTTTATGTGGCTATCAGTTTGTGTCGTGCGTTTTAGAAATCTTGCTGCATTCCCTCTGATATTCGGTGTCAGTGGGAAGGTTTTGGGCAGATCTTCCCCTGATGAAGATGATGATATTGATGTTTGTAATGCCATATGTGCACATGAGTCATCTGTCACTGTAATAACAAACAATCTAGATCATCATCGCTGTTTCCCAGGATGTCTGGACGTTATGTTTGTCTGCTGGACCGGAGTACGAGCGCTTACCACTGTAATGTGTGTGTGTGTGTGTGTGTGTGTGTGTGTGTGTGTGTCTGATTCATAAAACTGAGCAGCAAGTGGGACATGGTCTGTGGCTTCCTCACTTCAGAGCGCAGATCTCCCAAAAGCCGATGGTGCACTCACTTGTTCTTCATGTTTTTCCAGATTTTGAAGTTTCCTTTTTCAACTTTGGTGTGTTCATTAGGTTGTAATAATGAAACAACATGAGCGCACACGTTAAAGTCACCCTCACAAGAAAAAGATACGCTGGCTAGCTGCTAACTGGTGTTGGCTTTGGGGTCCTGGGAAGTATGGAAACAGCCAGTATGTTTATGTGGGCG